ACCACCTACGACTACTACTACTAGAGCTACTACGACTACTACGACCACCCACGAGTACTACGACTACTACGAGTACTACGACTACTACGACCACCACGAGTACTACGACTACTACGACCACCACGAGTACTACGACCACCACGAGTACTACGACTACTACTACGAGTACTACGACTACTACGACCACCACGAGTACTACGACTACTACGAGTACTACGACTACTACTACGAGTACTACGACTACTACTACGACTACTACGAGTACACGACTACTACGACCACCACGAGTACTACGACTACTACGACTACTACGAGTACTACGACTACTACGACCGCCACGAGTACTACGACTACTACGACTACTACGACCACCACGAGTACTACGACTACTACGAGTACTACAAGTACTACGACTACTACGACCACCACAAGTACTACGACTACTACGAGTACTACGACTACTACTACGACTACTACGACCACCACGAGAGTTACTACTACTACGACTACTACGAGTACTACGTACTACTACTACTACGATACTACTACGACTACTACTATGAGTACTACGACTACTACTACACCTACCACGAGTACTACGACTACTACGCCACCACACGAGTACACGGTACTACGAGTACTACGACTACTACGACTACTACGAGTACTACGACTACTACTACGAGTACTACGACTACTACGACCACACGAGTACTACTACTACGACCACCACGAGTACTACGACACCACGACGATACTACGGAGTACTTACGAGTACTACGACTACTACGACCACCATGAGTACTACGACACACGAGTACTACGACCACCACGAGTACTACGACTACTACGACTACTACGAGTACTACGACTACTACGACCACCACGAGTACTACGACACACGAGTACTACTACGAGTACTACGACTACTACGACCTACGACGAGTAGTACTACGACGAGTACTACGACCACCACGAGTACTACGACTACTACGACTACACTACACGAGTACTACGACCACCACTGAGTACTACGACTACTATGAGTACTACGACTACTACGACTTACTACGACCACCACGAGTACTACGACTACTACGACCACGAGTACTACTACTACGACTACTACGACTACTACAAGTACTACGACCACCACGAGTACTACGACCACCACGACTACTACGACCACTACGACTACTACGACTACTACGACTACCACGAGTACTACGACTACTACGAGTACTACGACTACTACGACCACCTACGAGTACTACGACTACTACACGAGTACTACGACTACTACGACCACTACTACTACACTACTACGAGTACTACGACTACTACTACGAGTACTACGACTACTACGAGTACTACGACTACTACTACGAGTACTACGACTACTACGACCACCATGAGTACTACGACTACTACGACCACCACGAGTACTACCATGAGTACTACGACTACTACAACCACCACGACTACTACGACCACGACGAGTACTACGACTACTACGACCACCACGAGTACTACGACTACTACGACCACCACGAGTACTACGACTACTACGACCACCACGAGTACTACCATGAGTATTACGACTACTACGACCACCACGAGTACTACGACTACTACGACCACCACGAGTACTACGACCACCACGAGTACTACGACTACTACGACCACCACGAGTACTACGACCACCACGAGTACTACGACTACTACGACCACCACGAGTACTACGACCACCACGAGTACTACGACTACTACGACCACCACGAGTACTACGGACTACTACGAGTACTACGAATACTACGACCACCACGAGTACTACCATGAGTACTACGACTACTACGACCACCACGAGTACTACGACTACTACGACCACCACGAGTACTACGACCACCACGAGTACTACGACTACTACGAGTACTACGACTACTACGACCACCACGAGTACTACGACTACTACGACTACACCACGAGTACTACGACTACTACGACTACCACGACTACTACGAGTACTACGACTACTACGACCGCCACGAGTACTACGACTACTACGAGTACTACGACTACTACGACCACTACGACCACCACGAGTACTACGACTACTACGACCACCACGAGTACTACGACTACTACGACCACCACGAGTACTACGACCACCACGAAGTACTACGTACAACGACCACACGAGTACTACACTTACTACGAGTACTACGACTACTACGACCACCACGAGTACTACGACCACCACGAGTACTACGACTACTACGACCACCACGAGTACTACGACACACGAGTACTACGACTACTACGACTACGACTACTACGACTACTACGACCACTACGAGTACTACGACTACTACTACGAGTACTACGACTACTACGACCACCACGAGTACTACGACTACTACGACCACCACGAGTACTACGACTACTACGAGTACTACGACTACTACGACCACCACGAGTACTACGAGTACTACGACTACTACGACCACCACGAGTACTACGACTACTACGAGTACTACGACTACTACGACCACCACGAGTACTACGACTACTACGAGTACTACGACTACTACTACGACGAGTACTACGACTACTACGACCACCACGAGTACTACGACTACTACGAGTACTACGACTACTACGAGTACTACGACCACCACTGAGTACTACGACTACTACGACCACCACGAGTACTACGACTACTACGAGTACTACGACTACTACGAGTACTACGACTACTACGACCACCACGAGTACTACCATGAGTACTACCACGACTACTACGACTACTACGACGACTACTACTACGACTACTACGACCACCACGAGTACTACGACTACTACAACCACCACGAGTACTACGACTACTACGAGTACTACGACTACTACGAGTTACACGAATACTACGACACCACGAGTACTACCATGAGTACTACGACTACTACGACCACCACGAGTACTACTACTACGACCACCACGAGTACTACGACTACTACGACTACTACGACTACTACGACCACCACGAGTACTACGACCACCACGACGACTACTACGACTACTACGACTACTACGAGTACTACGACTACTACGACCACTACGAGTACTACGACTACTACGACCACCACGAGTACTACGACTACTACGACCACCACGAGTACTACGACCACCACGAGTACTACGACCACCACGAGTACTACGACTACTACGAGTACTACGACTACTACGACCACCACGAGTACTACGACTACTACGACCACCACGAGTACTACCACGAGTACTGTCACGGGTACTATGACTACTACTATAAATACTAATGCTACTATGACTACTGCTTATGGAGGTAGACAAAGTACTTCTGCTGTGTATTCTTCTGTCCTTTTCCTCATGACATCATCACATCTGTTGGCCAATCACATTTCAGACACACACAGGACTGTCTCTGACCAATCACAGACCAGAACAGCCCATCTGACCAATCAGAGTTCAGTTCAGTTCAGTTCTGGTTTTACAAAAGTCCCTGGTTCTGGATCAGACGAGACTGTGACTGTTACTTCATACTGTGTGTACTGTGTGTACTTGTACTGTGTGTACTGTGTGTACTTGTACTTGTACTGTGTGTACTGTGTGTACTGTGTGTACTGTGTGTACTTGTACTGTGTGTACTGTGTGTACTGTGTGTACTTGTACTGTGTACTGTGTGTACTGTGTGTACTGTGTGTACTTGTACTGTGTGTACTGTGTGTACTGTTGTACTGTGTTGTACTGTGTACTGTGTGTACTGTGTGTGTACTGTGTGTGTACTGTGTGTACTGTACTGGGTGTACTGTGTGTACTGTGTGTACTTGTACTGTGTGTACTGTGTACTTGTACTGGTGTACTGTGTGTACTTGTACTGTGTGTACTGTGTGTACTGTGTGTACTTGTACTGTGTGTACTGTGTGTACTGTGTGTACTTGTACTGTGTGTGGTTCTATTATAATTTCTCTTTTGAAGTAATGAGTCCTGAACTGAACTCAGACATGTTACTTCATACTTAATACTGTGTACTTCTCCTGTCTGTACTCTGTGTAGTGTGTGTACTGATACTCTGTGTAGTGTGTGTACTGATACTGTGTACTGTGTGTACTTTGTGTACTGTGTTCAGGGTTTCCGGAGGCAGTCGTCTCTTTTGTTTAAAATCCTGTCGAGCGTCAGAAATCATCAAATCAACTCCGACCTCGCACAACTACTACTGCGTCTGGACTACAACAAGTACTACACCTGCTCCGGGGGCACGCTGGGCAGGTACTACCACTACTACTACTACTACTACTACTACTACTACTACTACTACTACTACTACTACTACTACTACTACTGTGTTTGTATTTCACTTGTTTTTTCTCTTTCTGACTTTTGTTTGTTTTTGTTTCAGTGTCTGAGGTTGGACCAATCAGAGCCGAGCGTCGTCTGTGGCCCCGCCCCCTCGTCGTCTGTGGCCCCGCCCCCTCGTCGTCTGTGGTCCCCGCCTCCTCGCCAATTGTCGTCTTTTGCATGTTTCACTTTGTTTCAAATATTTAAACATTAAAACATAAAAAAAGAAAAGTGTTTCGTGTTTTATTTTTTCATGATTCCAAACAAATAAAAATCAACTTCCACGTTTGTGGATCGTAAGTTTGGGTTTTTAAAGAATCGTCCAAATGAAAACGACAAAACGAGCTGAAACGATCATGTAAATAAAATATAAATGTGTCGTCGACAGATGACAAATATAAATGTGATTATGAACTGATCCTGAACAAATGAAAACTATTTCACAATAAACTGAATGTGACGTGTTTTTGTATCAGTTTTATTGAAAAAGGAGCAAAGACAGAAACATGGTGATATCGTATCGTCAAAGTTTTCACAATAATATCGAGGATCATCACGATAAATCGAATGACAAAAGTCTCTTTGTTTAAATGAAGAGTTAAAAACACAGAGGAAACTCCACAGACCGAGGGTCGGGACTTTTGACTCCAGAGACATGAAAGAAAAATATCTGGACATTTATTTCAGTGAGAAAAATAGAATCTATTTTAAGACTGAATTCAACAAAATGTGAGTGTAATTATTCTTTTATTATTCTTTTAAATCATGTTATAATATTCACTGTTAATGTGACTTCTGGTGCTGACGGATTTGTCGTCTGATTGGTGCTTGGTCAGGTTAAGAGATTAAATTTATATATATATATACAGAATATATATAATATACAGAGTGTACAGAAACATCTGTGCAGAGTACAGGCTGGAGACCCCAGGATCAAGGTGGGAAACACCTCCAAAGGTTGTGGAGAACGACTGAGTCAAGATCCTGTGGGACTTCAGATACAGACTGACAGGACGGAGATGAACCAACCAGACATAGTGGAGGTGGAGAAGAAACAGAGCAGAGCCGTGGTGGTGGAACATCACACCAAGAGATGGAAATATCAGGAAAAAGGAACATGAGAAACTAGAGAAACACCAGGGGCTCAAGGAGGATCTGGAGAAGGTCTGGAAAGTAAAGGCATCAGTGGAGCCTGTGGTGATCGGACACTCGGGGCTGTAACCCCCAAACTGGAAGAAACTACAACAGATCCCAGGAAAAACAACGGAACATCTCAGTCCAGAAAAGTGCAGCACTGGAACAGCAAAGATACTGAAGAACTGTCAGGCTCCAGACTCTGGTGGAGGAACCGAGCTGAATGAGGGTGAGACCAACCACCGTGGAAGGTGAGGAGCACATTTTTTATATAGTCCAGACTCAGTCCCATATGGACCTGGACAGGGTCAGACCGATGTTCCCAATGTTCCTCCAATTGTGAAAGGATTCTATGTTCCCTGTTAAAACCACAGGTCGTCCTCATCTCCACTTCCAGAGAGTCCAGAGGGTCCAGAGGGTCCAGGGAGTCCAGAGGGTCCAGAGGGTCCAGGGAGTCCAGAGGGTCCAGAGGGTCCAGAGGGTCCAGGGAGTCCAGAGGGTCCAGGAGTCCAGTCCAGAGGGTCCTCCAGGGGTCCAGAGGAGTCCAGAGAGTCCAGAGAGTCAGAGGAGTCCAGGGAGTCCAGAGGGTCCAGGAGTCCAGGAGAGTCCAGAGAGTCCAGAGAGTCCAGAGATCCAGTCCAGGGAGTCCAGAGAGTCCAGGGAGTCCAGAGGTCCAGAGGAGTCCAGAGAGTCCAGGAGTCCAGAGGGAGTCCAGGGAGTCCAGAGAGTCCAGAGGGTCCAGGGAGTCCAGAGTCCAGGAGTCCAGAGGGTCCAGGGAGTCCAGGAGTCCAGAGGGAGTCCAGGGAGTCCAGAGGGTCCAGAGAGTCCAGAGAGTCCAGGGAGTCCAGGGAGTCCAAGAGGGTCCAGTCCAGTCCAGAGTCCAGGTCCAGAGTCCAGAGGGTCCAGAGGGTCCAGGAGAGTCAGGAGTCCAGAGAGTCCAGGAGTCAGGAGTCCAGAGGAGTCCAGAGGGTCCAGAGGGTCCAGAGGAGTCCAGAGGGTCCAGGGAGTCCAGAGGGTCCAGAGGGTCCAGAGAGTCCAGGGAGTCCAGAGGGTCCAGGGAGTCCAGAGGGTCCAGAGAGTCCAGAGAGTCCAGAGTCCAGAGGGTCCAGGGAGTCCAGAGAGTCCAGAAGAGTCCAGAGGGTCCAGGGAGTCCAGAGAGTCCAGAGAGTCCAGAGAGTCCAGGGAGTCCAGAGGGTCCAGGGAGTCCAGAGAGTCCAGAGAGTCCAGAGGGTCCAGGGAGTCCAGAGGGTCCAGAGAGTCCAGAGGGTCCAGAGGGTCCAGGGAGTCCAGAGTCCAGGAGTCCAGGAGTCCAGAGAGTCCAGAGAGTCCAGAGAGTCCAGAGAGTCCAGGGAGTCCAGAGAGTCCAGGGAGTCCAGGGAGTCCAGAGGGTCCAGAGGGTCCAGAGGGTCCAGAGAGTCCAGAGAGTCCAGAGGAGTCCAGGGAGTCCAGAGGGTCCAGAGGAGTCCAGGAGGGTCCAGGGAGTCCAGAGAGGTCCAGAGAGTCCAGAGGGTCCAGAGGGTCCAGGGAGTCCAGAGGAGTCCAGGGAGTCCAGAGAGGGTCCAGAGAGTCCAGAGAGTCCAGAGTCCAGAGGGTCCAGAGAGTCCAGAGGAGTCCAGAGAGTCCAGAGGTCCAGAGTCCAGTCCAGAGTCCAGAGAGTCCAGAGAGTCCAGAGAGGAGTCCAGAGGGTCCAGAGGAGTCCAGAGAGTCCAGAGAGTCCAGAGGGTCCAGAGGGTCCAGAGAGTCCAGAGGTCCAGAGGAGTCCAGAGGGTCCAGGAGTCCAGGAGTCCAGAGGGTCCAGAGAGTCCAGGAGTCCAGAGGGTCCAGGAGTCCAGAGAGTCCAGAGAGTCCAGAGAGTCCAGGAGTCCAGGGAGTCCAGAGTCCAGGGAGTCCAGAGGAGTCCAGAGGGTCCAGGGAGTCCAGAGAGTCCAGGAGTCCAGAGGGTCCAGAGGGAGTCCAGGGAGTCCAGAGTCCAGGAGTCCAGAGAGTCCAGGGAGTCCAGAGAGTCCAGAGAGTCCAGGGAGTCCAGTCCAGGAGTCCAGAGGAGTCCAGAGGGTCCAGGGTCCAGAGTCCAGAGTCCAGAGAGTCCAGGGAGTCCAGAGGGTCCAGGAGTCCAGAGGGTCCAGAGAGTCCAGAGAGTCCAGGGAGTCCAGAGGGTCCAGGGAGTCCAGAGAGTCCAGAGAGTCCAGGGAGTCCAGAGGGTCCAGGGAGTCCAGAGGGTCCAGAGAGTCCAGAGAGTCCAGAGAGTCCAGAGGAGTCCAGGGAGTCCAGAGGGTCCAGAGAGTCCAGAGAGTCCAGAGGGTCCAGAGGGTCCAGGGAGTCCAGAGGGTCCAGAGAGTCCAGAGAGTCCAGAGAGTCCAGAGAGTCCAGGGAGTCCAGAGGGTCCAGGGAGTCCAGAGGGTCCAAAGGGTCCAGGGAGTCCAGAGAGTCCAGAGGGTCCAGAGAGTCCAGAAGGTCCAGAGGGTCCAGAGAGTCCAGAGGGTCCAGGGAGTCCAGAGGTCCAGAGAGGTCCAGAGGGTCCAGGGAGTCCAGAAGGTCCAGAGGGTCCAGAGAGTCCAGAGGGTCCAGAGAGTCCAGAAGGTCCAGAGGGTCCAGGGAGTCCAGTCCAGGAGTCCAGAGGGTCCAGGAGTCCAGAAGGTCCAGAGGGTCCAGGAGTCCAGAGGTCCAGAGGAGTCCAGGGTCCAGAGGGTCCAGAGAGTCCAGAGAGTCCAGTCCAGAGTCCAGAGAGTCCAGAGGTCCAGAGGGTCCAGGGAGTCCAGAAGGTCCAGAGGGTCCAGAGGGTCCAGAGAGTCCAGAAGGTCCAGAGGGTCCAGAGAGTCCAGGGAGTCCAGAGAGTCCAGGGAGTCCAGAGGGTCCAGGGAGTCCAGAGAGTCCAGAGGGTCCAGAGAGTCCAGAGAGTCCAGAAGGTCCAGAGGGTCCAGAGAGTCCAGGGAGTCCAGAGGGTCCAGAGGGTCCAGGGAGTCCAGGGAGTCCAGAGGGTCCAGGGAGTCCAGAGGGTCCAGAAGGTCCAGAGAGTCCAGAAGGTCCAGAGGGTCCAGGGAGTCCAAAGGGTCCAGAAGGTCCAGAGAGTCCAGAGAGTCCAGAGGGTCCAGAAGGTCCAGAGAGTCCAGAGAGTCCAAAGGGTCCAGAAGGTCCAGAGGGTCCAGAGGGTCCAGAGAGTCCAGAGGGTCCAGAGAGTCCAGAAGGTCCAGAGTCCAGCGGGTCCAGAGAGTCCAGAGGGTCCAGAGAGTCCAGAAGGTCCAGAGAGTCCAGAGGGTCCAGGGAGTCCAGAAGGTCCAGGGATTCCAGGGAGTCCAGAAGGTCCAGAGGACCCAGAGGGTCCAGGGAGTCCAGAAGGTCCAGAGGACCCAGAGGGTCCATAGGGTCCAGAGAGTCCAGAGGGTCCAGGGAGTCCAGAAGGTCCAGAGAGTCCAGAGGGTCCAGGGAGTCCAGAGGGTCCAGGGAGTCCAGAAGGTCCAGAGGACCCAGAGGGTCCAGAGGGTCCAGGGAGTCCAGAGAGTCCAGAGGGTCCAGAGGGTCCAGGGAGTCCAGAGGATCCAGAGGGTCCAGGGAGTCCAGAGAGTCCAGAGGGTCCAGGGAGTCCAGAAGGTCCAGAGAGTCCAGAGGGTCCAGGGAGTCCAGAGGGTCCAGGGAGTCCAGAAGGTCCAGAGGACCCAGAGGGTCCAGAGGGTCCAGGGAGTCCAGAGAGTCCAGAGGGTCCAGAGGGTCCAGAGAGTCCAGAGGGTCCAGAGAGTCCAGAGGAGTCCAGGGAGTCCAGAGTCCAGGAGTCCAGAGAGTCCAGAGGGTCCAGAGGGTCCAGGGAGTCCAGAGAGTCCAGAGGATCCAGAGGGTCCAGGGAGTCCAGAGAGTCCAGAGGGTCCAGAGGGTCCAGGGAGTCCAGAGGGTCCAGAGAGTCCAGAGGGTCCAGGGAGTCCAGAGGGTCCAGAGAGTCCAGAGGGTCTAGGGAGTCCAGAGGGTCCAGAGAGTCCAGAAGGTCCAGAGGGTCCAGAGAGTCCAGAGGGTCTAGGGAGTCCAGAGGGTCCAGAAGGTCCAGAGGGTTCAGAAGGTCGAGAGGGTCCAGAGAGTCCAGAGGGTCTAGAAGGTCCAGAGAGTCCAGAGGGTCTAGGGAGTCCAGAAGGTCCAGAGGGCCCTGAGTCTGTTTGTCTCCAGTCACTTTTCACTGTTCTTTGTTCTGTTGAACCTTCATCCAGGCGACGCCAAACGAGTCTAAAATCAAACACAAGACTTCACCGTCTCTACACTCAAACGTTCATGACTAAAAATAAATAAATGTAAAGTACCTGAGCTGAGGTGATGAGGTGAGGGGCCGGGCTGATCTTGGTGTCACGGAGGCAGGTCCCACAATCTTCATCTCCACAACAAATTCAGATTTTTATCTTTTTACAGCTTCATTTGCGGCTCAAAAAACAAAGACGTTTAAATCTCGAATCCAAAACTGTGTCCAGAGACAGAACCAGAACCTTCAGTTATTGATCCTCTTCATCGTTCACGAAGTTGTTCTGAGGCTGGAGTCTTCAGGGTTGGAGATGTTTTGTGGTTCAGCATTTTGACCAGAGGAACAACGATTTATTCATTTTAAGAACAGTTTAAGGACAGTGAGTCTGAAGGGACGGGGCAGTTTCTCGGTCTGTTTCTGTGAGTTCGAAATATTTTTCACGTTTGTGCTTTTCCTTCAGCTCAGATTCAGTTTGGATCATTTTTGTCTCTTTGAAAAGATTTGGGGATTTATTTATTGGCTCGAGCCACTAACGAAGTAACTGGTGAGGGCTATTGTTCTTCGCCGGTTTCTTTTTTTTTTTATTAAACCCTTTTCCGACCAAACGATCGCATTTTTGACCCCCTGAACATGGACGAAAAGTCCCCAAACCGGGTTCAGATAAAATGGGCATCGCAACAATGGCCAAAGTGACCCGACTCAACAGCGCCACCTAGAATTGGACCCCTATGGGAGTAGGGACAAACAAAGTTTGTCGCAGGGAAATGAAATTCGGGACAGTGATAGAGAACAATGACACAAGCCAAAAGAAGAACTGGAGCATGACCCTATGACGAACAGGAAGTCGGCCATATTGGATCAAACATTCGGTGCCGTTTTGACTTGAGTGTCTACAAAAAGATTCAAGTCCCCGGGGTTTGGTCCAAATGAGCTCAGATTTGACATGTCACATCTACAGACATAAACTCACAGAAATTATCAATTTTTTTTTAATACTCCTTACAGTTCGCCCGCAGCACGCCGCCGAAAAACGCCTTAATTTCCTGTTTTTTCGGGGACCTGTCACGACCTGTCACGACCTGTCACGACCTGTCACGACCTGTCACGACCTGTCACGACCTGTAGAACTGAAATTCAAATCACAACTGTGTGATCCAGGCCTGAATGTGATGAAATATGAAATTGAATAAACGTGAACTCTGTAGCGCCCCCTAGCATAGACGTGAAACGATAACATTATCGGCTTTGGACCAAAGTCGGGGACTAAATTCTATAATTGATTACAAGCAAAAAAGTTCATTACGGACATGATGCATTTTCCACCATTGACCAGCAGGGGCACAAAGACTCCCCCAAAAAATAGTTAAAAAATAATTACACAAACAGGTTTAGTCCGATCGTGCTGAAATTTGAATCGAATCACTAATGTCTGATCCCAGCCTGAATATAATAAACTATAAAACATATGAAAAGTGAACTCTATAGCGCCCCCTACCATAGACATGACATGTCAACATTATTGGATTTGTACCAAATTCAGGGAATAAGTTCTATGCATGATTATGAGCAAAAAAATAAATAATGGACATGGTGCATTTTCCACTGTTGGCCAGCAGGAGCGCAATGACTCCTACAAATATTTAAAGGTGCAGTATGTCATGTGTCTAATGGACGAGCTGTCGGCCGGGGCGCGAGGCCCCGGAGGTCGCGTGGCAGGGGCTTTAATTTATTTATTTAATTTCAGGTTTTGTCAAATTCATCAAAATGATAAACCAGATGCCCCACAGATACTTTGTACTTTTACTCGAGTAATATTATTTTGAAGAACTTTACTCCACCCTGAGGAGGAAACATCTGCTCCTGATCTGAGGAACGAAAAGAAGCACAGAGTCGAGTCTCACTTTAAAACAGTTTATTCAAATATTTACAGCAGCTTCAGCTTCACTTCAGGCTTTAAGATGATGAAGACGAGGACGAGTCCAGAGCCGACGAGAAGCTGGAGAAGTCCAGAGTCTCTCCACAAACCACACAGTCAATGAGCCAGTCCACCGAGACCCGCGGCAAGTCCGGACCAGAGACCGGACCAGAGACCGGACCAGAGACCGGACCAGAGACCGGACCAGAGACCGGACCAGAGACCGGACCAGGGTCTAGACCGGGCTCCAGCACCAGAACATCAGCAGAACCCACCAGGAACTCTGAGGGACCAAGAACAACTTTATTACACAGGAGGAGATCTTCACAAGACGAGACCGGGTCTGGACCGGGTCTGGACCGGATCTGGTTTTACCTGTGCGGTCTTCAGGGGACCGGACCAGGGCGGTGCCTCCTCCCAGTCGGACCAGTTCAGACCAGAACTCAACCTGGTTTTTGAGCAGCAGCAAAACTCGGAGCGACTTAAACGGACTTCGATGAGGACGCCTGACGGACGACAGGAAGAAGAACAGAAGAGGAAGAAGAGGAGGTGAAACAGTCGTTTAATGCACCTGTCCTGTCGTGTTCTTCTCGTTTGTTTCATTCGTTCTGTTTCTTTTGTTTCTTTTGTTTCTCCAGTGAAAAACAAACTTTGGGACAGTTTCAGTTTCAGAAAAAAACAAACAAAAAACAGACCTGAAACAAGAGTGTGTATAGTCCGTGTGTGTATGTGTGTGTATAGTCCGTGTGTGTATGTGTGTATGTGTGTATAGTCCGTGTGTGCGTGTGTATAGTCTGTGTGTGTGTGTGTGTGTATAGTCCGTGTGTGTATGTGTGTATGTGTGTATAGTCTGTGTGTGTGTGTGTGTGTATAGTCCGTGTGTGTATGTGTGTATGTGTGTATAGTCCGTGTGTGTGTATGTGTGTATGTGTGTATAGTCCGTGTGTGCGTGTGTATAGTCTGTGTGTGTGTTGTGTGTGTATAGTCCGTGTGTGTATGTGTGTATGTGTGTATAGTCTGTGTGTGTGTGTGTGTGTATAGTCCGTGTGTGTATGTGTGTATGTGTGTATAGTCCGTGTGTGTGTGTGTGTGTATATTCCGTGTGTGTGTATAGTCCGTGTGTGTATGTGTGTATAGTCCGTGTGTGTGTGTGTGTATATTCCGTGTGTGTGTATAGTCCGTGTGTGTATGTGTGTATAGTCCGTGTGTGTGTGTGTATAGTCCGTGTGTGTGTGTGTGTATATTCCGTGTGTGTGTATAGTCCGTGTGTGTATGTGTGTATATTCCATGTGTGTGTATGTGTGTATAGTCTGTGTGTGTGTGTATAGTCCGTGTGTGTGTGTGTATAGTCTGTGTGTGTGTGTGTAGTC